TAGAAGCAGCAGTGGTGGAGGAGACCAGCTGCCTGGGGCAGCTCTCTGTCGAAGATCATCTGGTCTATGTCCAGGTACTCTCGGAGCAGCACGGGGCGGCGGTGATAGGGCAGGGGCCCCCGGTGACGCTCCACAGTCACATCCCGCATGTAGGAGGGGTGGGGCAGTGGTCCCACCACCAGCTCACTCACGTTGGGCTGGGGTTGTCTGCCAAAGAAGACGATGGCCAGTGCCTCCCGGGCAGGCGGGGGGCTCCCCCTGTCCAGGTGGGCCAAGGCTGCAGCCTTGGGGGGCAGCTGCAGCTCCACCGAGAAGACGCAGTTGTCTGAGGGGCGGGCCTGGGCTGCATCCACCAGGCCTGGCCCCAGCTGCTGGGTCAGAAAGCTCATCACAGCCGTCAGCTCCTCTGGGCTCAGGTCTGCAAACAGCTGGCTCTGGCCAGGGTGTGTCCAGTGCTGGGCACTGTGGGATACAGAGGGGCAGCGGGGAGGCTGGCTCGAGCCCCCTTGGCTGGACACCAAGACATAGGCCAGGGCAAAGATGGTAATGAGGGACAGTGCCAGGAACACGAGGACTACCTTGACATTCATGGTGAATGCTGAGAGTTGAAATGAGAGTCCTACCAGCTGCTCCTTCCAGTTACTGACATCAAATCAGGGTTTATATTCAGTAGGATGGATAGGAATGGAGAAAACTCCACCCTGTGGGTTGAACAGGAAATTTCTGACCTTGATTTATATAATTCTGTTCCAATTTTCTGTTCTGTGGTTTGGCCCAAGGCACTACTTCCATGTGCATGACATCTCCCCTGCCCCTGAACTCCTACTGGCAGCACCATCAGTACGCACTACTGATTTCCATCCTTTACACCAGATTAGAGGGCATTTGAAGTAGCGCTGAACTGCACCTTTCACCCAAAATAGGTCTGAGGAAGAATGCATATCTCAGATGCCCAATCAAGTCCTGTGTGCCTGAATACAGGCACTAAAATGGTCCGTTTTTCACCCTCCTGGTAGGCACTACCCCCCAATATTTCTAGGACCTACTGCCCAGTTCAGCAACAAGCACTGTGTTCTGCCAGTTACCTAAGGTCAAGCCCCTGATCTGTAGTCTCAGGCCTCTTCTATCTAGTCAGTGAGAAAGGAGTGGTGAAGTCCTGAGCTTAGTAGTCAGATTTGTACACCAATTCCAGGTCCCTAAGCTGTGTGACCTCAGGGGAGGTACTTATTGTGAGTCTGTGTCCTCACCTATAAAGGGATAAAACTACCCTATAGATTCATGAAGATTAAATGTGATCATGCATATAAAGTGCTTAGCAAAGCCTAACACAGGGCAGGCATTCAAAAATTGTTACCTAGTGGTTATCTCTAAAACAGAACAGAGCAGATGTTCCTCCATTGTTAAAGGCCTTAAGTCTCTTTTTGCAGAGACAGTGAGGGGATCACTGGATACCAGAAGGCTACTTTACAAGGTGGAAGTTGAGGAAACTTTATTTGAGAGGGAGGTAAGGTCCTAGACAGCCCTATAAGTCATTTGAAAACCAAAACCAAGAGTCCCCTGGCATCTCCTCAAGAAACTTCAGACATTATTCAGAGGGGAGAGTTAGTAGATGGTAAAGAAAATGACACGGTAGAGCCCGCCTTGAACCAGGCAATTCTGTGATTTCCCACGCGGAACTAGAGCAGCCTCTACTGGCAGTTCATGGGTATCACTGGGGAGGGAAGGAAGGAAGGAAGGAAGGAAGGAAGGAAGGAAGGAAGGAAGGAAGG